TTGTTCGACAGTTGTAATTATATGAGGAGCTCTAATATTTCATACAATAGGAGATACCTTATATGATGAGGACTTAGTATCCAAGCTGAATGAACTGGGTGAAGACAAAAGGAGAGCCGAGTACGTCTTGATAGACAGAATAAAACCGCCTGTGGTAAAGAACTATATAGTGCAAAGTGGGAAAGACGTTGAAAATCGAGAAACGGTCAGTGAAATTGGAATATTTGCTGCAATTATAAGGTAGGAAATGTGTGTTTAATAAGTTATCCATTTATTATTAAGTCAACGTTTTAACATGTTTTGTCCAAATTATGTTTTAAAATGTATTAAATTTATTATCACTGAGACCGAAACATATTATTCAACACATCCTGTACATACTTAATTTTCCTTAATTATTCATTATATTTCAGTCAAGGTGAAAATCTGCTCATTAACAGTACATGTGGTCATATCCTGAAAACAAAGACAAAATCTTATAAAGAAGGAGGTGCTAGTGTTGACAATGCATTCGAATATATTGATAGTCCATTTCTTGTGTAGTTATACACTGATATTATATTCAAAAATTCTCACTAACTGCAGGAAATTACATATAAAATATATACAAATTTTTACTAGCTTGTCCGGTGTTATTTTATGGGTTGTTATTTTATGGTTGTATTGTTAATTATATTTGAGTTGGTCTAACACTGATTTACATAATTCTAATCCATAATAGTTGCTAATTTAATGGTATAACAATATAATCAATTGCATGTCATAATAGTTACTATACGTATATCATAATGGTTACAATGTTTTTATGATATGATATAAAGATATATGTCAAAATAGTTACTGAACTTATGTAATAACAGTCAGCATTTCTATTACAAAATGTTTAATAAATCTATGACATCATATTTAAAAACGTATATCATAATAGTTACCAATTGCATGACTTAATATATAATAAATCAATAAATAATTGTTATTAAATGTATTGCACAATATGAAATGTACGTAGGTTAAAAAAGTAGGAATAAACTGTTGGTAAAACAACCTTTATTTTCATGTTTTTTTTATTTTTTACCATTATTTCCACTAAACTATTTTCAAAACTAGTAAAATGTAATGCAAACTAGGTAATGCGGTATAACCGAATGTATTGTTACGAATAGCCAGATAAGCAATATTTATACAGAATTACTGTATATCATGGCAGGTAAGCGTATGTACTAGCGTTCACAATAGTTACAATAAATGCACCTGACTGGTGAAACATCTCTGACAAGTGATAAGCAATATATAGAAAGAAATTCAACGATTCACATGTTGCAAGGCCAAAGAGACTAACCCGTTTTTGAATAGGAATGATGATTGTTCACATGTGTACTTCAACTGGCAACTCGTAGTCGATAATAAAAGTTCGGCGCCGAATTAACTAAACAACTAACTTTTGCAACTGATTATGACTGGCTAATTATTGCGTTAATAAATGTGTATATTAGCCCAGTAGCAACCCTTGAATCTCATTATGCTGGCTACAATATATGCATAATATATACATACCAAAATATAAATAAACGAACAATAACAAATAACCATGTGTACAAATTTATGTGATTTGAAAACAATCTATAATCAAGCTGATAGTTGCTTGTTTCACGCGCGCCCAATACCACATATGAAATTATATGAAAAAAACAATGTACGTGTAAGCTGTTTCATTATTGAATACTATTTTTTTTTATTTACGTTTAGATTATTATTTAGTCTACACACCTCTGACTCAATACGTAATACATTTGCGAGAAATTTTCAAATGTATCTATTATCCAGAATTCATTTTGGAGAATAATATCTGACTGTGAGATATTGGCCATGGATGTAATAGCTGTATAGCACATACACAAAGTATCAAAATAGTGTATGTTATTTAACACTAATTCATTATTCGGAGGGTTGCAATGATCATGTACTTTAACAGATCATTACAGTAAATTGTAGATGAAATCGCTTTCGTATCTTGGTATATTCGATTGTAATGCTGTCTTGATGTTAAACAGTCTGTAAAGGTAAATATAAGTTTTTCGTCTGTACTCTGGGTAATTCATTACTGTTTTTATTTTGTGTAGTGTATATATTCGAGTATTATTGCTATACTGTACACTGTGGCAAGTGCCATATCAGTTATTGGAATGCTAATTATATAGTGAATTGTTAAATGAGGTCCCTCATCGGCAACAAAATACGTTGTATTCAAAGTAATTCAGCTGTTATTTCTCGGTAAACCAAAATTTGTGTTTCTCCTTTCCATGGGGTTTCATATATCAATGGACAGTTATGTCATTTGAATCTTTCAGGTCATAGAATTTTAGCATGAAATATATTTGTAACTCTTGTTGTATTTTATAAGATATTTTTAGAATGCATAATAAATATCCTTGATTCTGCGTATTGTGACAATATGTACATTGCAAAATTTCACGATATTCAGGATGTCGTCATCTCATGAATATTGTATACCTAATGGCACGTGTGTGTTTCCCATAATAACCACCGTTGAGCAGGTTTGTACTCTGACTTTGTTACTTGACATATCGAAAGGTGTGCATTTTTTGGTCTGACCGTTAGTCGCGGTGACCTTTTATCAAAGTTAAAAGATTGGTTATCTAATTAGGTTGGAATTGGCAAGAAGAGATTAACAATTCCACGCATAAAACAACTATGTTGAGTGAACGAACAATTTTGAGTTTTATATTCACGATTGTATCTGCGTTGTGGTGATAATTTTCCGAATTACTAAAAAAACAGGTCAAAGGTAGGGGGTATTGCATTTTAATACGATGGCGCTTGTGTCATAGTGCCTTTTCAAGAACCAAAAACCTAATTATCTGTAATGTAATATTGTAATATTGAAGACGTTGAAGGTAGAACAGGTTAGCAAATATTTGTTCAGCTAAATTGTTCACTGTTGACCAGTGCCAGCTTTGTAAATCTTCTCTTAATATTATTAATTCTAAATGACTGTTTGATATTACCCCTCTGAAAGGTATAAAAGCATTTCTCTTGTTTATACTATTGTAACGTCGCTCTGATGCTTTTTAAATATAACGGAAATTACAATTTCTACTTCCGACATACCACAATAAACGAGTCATGTTTTCTACACCCATGTCGTCACACAACTGCAATAACTGTAATATTCGGTAGCTTTATATAAGGTACTATATCTGTGTGATGACGATAATTTTGGCGATTATCGAGATCATCACTTCCCTGAATAAAACCCCATAGTTCGGTCATAGAATATAATCTCTTTTAGTTTAGGTTGGACAGCATGATGATACCGCATACAATTGTCATTATCCATAGATTGTAATACAAAAGTAAGATTTGTATTATTACCAATTCTTTTCTTGGGATCGCAGAATTTTAGATTTTACACAATGATATCGTGAAGGCGATTTTTGATTAATGACACAAATCCGATATTATATCATAATGATCCTCTGTTTTTAATTCTGAAATATTTGTGTAATTGTCGTCGGATTAAAGTCTTTAGTAATAATGAGCAAATTACAATATTTAAGGTTTTTGTTACATGCATCGTTTCTGGATGTTATGAAAACGCCGAGAGGTAGAGATGGTAGTGGTAGAGATTTATCAGATATAATTCCATGTACATCTATTTTCTCTATCCATGTCATCTAAACCATCAAATAATTGCAGTGACGTTGAATGTGTTTGTGAAGTTTTGTGATCACCTGATTACAGCTGGTCAAAAAGATCGTATCAATGCTATTCCTAAATAAATGCATCATTTCAAAAAGC